TTAAGCATCAATGAATAGTATACATTTTAATATTCATTTTTGCGCCCAGGCCTAATTACACTAGGCAATCAAGAGTATATAAACGTTGGAGGTTTGTTGGAACATATATATGTGTGTGTGTGTTGTGTGTGTGTGTGTGTGTGTGTGTGTGTGTGTGTGTGTGTGTGTGTGTGTGTGTGTGTGTGTGTGTGTGTGTGTGTGTGTGTGTGTGTGTGTGTGTGCGCGTGCGTGCATGCGTGCGTGTGTGTAGGGGTAGATTTTGTGTATACCAGTGTTCTGTTCATCCTCAGTTTCAGTCTACTTATGCGCGTGATTTTTGAGAGATGGCAGTGATGAGTCGACGTAAAGAAGCAGCGCAGGCTGTAATAAACGCTTCTATAACCCGTGGATTTTGGATTTTTCACAACCCTAAGACGCAATCGCAGTGCTCGCATTCTGTAGCTTACAGTCTGAGTGTTTACTATCGAAACGCAGAAACATCGGAGTGAAAGACAAAAGGCTTTTAAGCGATATGCCAGTAATATAATTTAACACATCAGCGCTTCTCATTCGGAAAAAAATCGTCGCATATAAACCTTGTGCATTGACGTCATATTATTTGATGTTCTATGTTTCCCGACATTTTGGTGATCACTTGACAGACCGTACGCACACTGAGACAGGCAGCATTTCGTATTTTTCAAATTCTTGGTAAAACGGCCCTACTGGTCAGCTTTATGGCGTGTTTGTGTGGCAGTTGGGTGCTCTAATAGGGCAAGTATGAAGGTATAGCATTCTACCGGTTTCCAACGGATAGAGAACGTCGAAACAGCTGGATAACTGCTGTGCGTCGGGAGAATTGGTCACCACCACGCATTCAAGTTATCTGTAACACTTCATATCAGGTAGGTGATGAAATGTCAGTCAAGTGACACACATGTAGTGATGTACATACATTCCCATGACTGGCCTTGCTGATAGCATGTCCAATGGCATTTTGATGCCTTGTTGATATTTTATATTTATACTATAGTCGCAGATTCCAATATGGGAATAATTACTAAACTCTAAATTAGGGGTGAGATGAGGATAGTATTGTTACGGCAATACTAGCCACAAGTTCCCATCTCGCTTAACACTACGTGGCGAGAGGCCGTAACTACTCCGCCGTGTAACTAGTCGGAGAGCCCTGGTCGGTTTACGGCAATACGTGCAGGGAGTGCAGTTGCTTATAAAAGACCTAGAAAAAACCATGCTGCCACCATTTTTAAGCTGTTTCTATCCATATATATATATATATATATATATATAAGAAGGGAAGCATTTTACTATTACGATGGGTTATTTCATGTGTTTGCTCACTATTTTTTCCAGTTAAATATATACTTACCACTGTCAATGGCAAATAGTGTCGCAGCTACATGGGAGCATGTCTCCCCAAGCCCTGCCATGCAGTTACAGTGGCCGCATACAACGCATCCATCCTTCTCACAAATCACCCACACTTGCAACGGTGGCTCCGAAAGCCTTTGGGAATGCAGCACCTAGAAGAATAAAATGCATCAAGGGAATAAACTAGCTACTGCAGAATCTTTGTAATAGCTGGTAATGATGAAAGAAACATGTATTATACTAGTAATTAGTATCACGCTGCTCTCACCCCAAGGAAAAGTGCTCTGTTCTGTACTGTTACATGGGTTGCTGCCCAATGCACTCAACAGTCTGGGAGGAACTAAGTAAAGTAAAGTTATCATGCAGTGACAGTGATTTCAATGGTAAATATGTACATCCAAAGCAACTCACCTTTGACAGAATGACAAACTTGCTTCCCTTTACTGAAACCAGGAGCTCTCTGACCCAACCGGAGATGAAATAATTGTAAGCATCCAAGCTCTTGTACGCCTTCATGCACTGGCCAGAAAATCCACCGGGTGTATTTATGAGGTAGTGATAAATGTCTGGGTACTCTACATCTGGCAGCTCGTTACTCTCACAATCCAGGACAGATTTACACTCTGATCTACATATCGCATAAGGATCAGCATCCACACAACCAATCTTCACTACATACCGCTGTTTAGCCACAGAATCTAGTTTGTTTGCATAAGGAGATAGCATTATTTACGCAGCAATTCAATGGTGATCAAGCTGTAGACTGGCTCTGGACGTCGACATGTCTCTGGACGGAGTGACGGTGCCGACCGGGTACCAGTCTAAGTCAGCTAAGCAGAATGAGCTGATCACCAATATGCCGGGAAAACAATAGAACATGATGCTATGACGTCACGTGCACAAGGTCTATACTCGATCACCGTACGTTAGTCATTTTACCGTGTACTTTGTGAGCCATTGCTCCCCCTAAGAGGCGGCCGGGAAAGTTCGGCTATTCAGGAATAACTCCCCTTGTGTGTTATCGACTTATCGCTTATCGCAACGTTAAACTAGGAACACGTAATGTTGACGAGTCTCGGATTCGCGGTAGCCTACCTACGCATCCAGTCACCGACCGGAATGGTTGACACGACGTTGAAGTATGTGTAGAACATTATTAATATGCGTTCCAATAGGTGTAGGTTCAACCCAGGCGCATTACAGTGCGATTACCAATGACATTGGCAATGCAAGTCAATAATCAGTTTTAATCGAAATTTGTAAATTAAGGCATTGCAAGGCGCTTCATCCCTGTACAGTCTTGCTTTTACACTCAAATCTTTGGGTATGTATACTAGGATAAACCCTCCCCAATATAATGAACTTAACTATGCATGTATAAGCAAGATATAACGTATATATGTATATATATATAAATAATATCAAGAGCTAATAATACTCTTATTACTCTAATTATTAGCTCTTGTCCTTTCCTAAAGTATTTATTTTATACTCGTTAGTCTTCACCTGCATCGAGTACGAACATAACGCAACATAAACATGAACATAACGTAAAATTTACATAGCCGTGCCATTAATACATGGCGATGTTTACCTACAATTATCACACATCACTGAATTATCTTATAATAGTGGCAGATATAGTAGCCGCGCGTGGGAGTACGATGTTGCCATCGCGGGTAAAGATCTATTCGCATTGTTTACACAACGTTAGCCAAGCCTCGGCAAACCAATGCTCAATATCTGCCACACCGTCAGGCTGTGCCCTCCTCACCGATTCCTTCATCCGCGGCCAGAGGTCCGTAGCGCTGAGATGCAGCAGTCCAGAGTTACTCACCAGCTTCCCGCTAGCGAGCCGAGCGAGCAAAGCCGCGATGTATTTCCGTCTCAGGTAGACAGCGGGAACGTAGTCGACTACTTTATACTTGTCCTCTGCTAGCATATTCAAACCGTGAATAAGCGGGTGCTCGATTTCACCATCGTTGCCTTCCGTTCCGAAACATTTATGAATGTATTTGAATAACTCGAGAACGATAACATCTACGCGGGATGGAGGCGGTTCGCGGGACATTGACGAGTGCACGTGAATCACGGCCAGCTTCAGTAGGTAAGAATCGATCATGCTATTCGCTTTACATCGAGTAGCTATGAACAGGCGAGTAACTTCTATGTTGCATTCTCGCAAATCGGTCACATTCGGATGTTTGAGCAAATCTTCGGCGTTGGCTATACCTCGTATCTTTCCCTCGTAATCGTGTACGTGAGGATTTAACAAGGCCTTCGCGACGATGACGGCATCGCGAAAGATCGCAGAATATCCACGAATGAGTGCGCTCTCGGCCAGTGCAGTACATACTGACCAATAACGATGAGACGATATGTCACACGATATGAGATCCCGTCTAGGTTTTGGCACAACATGATAATACTGCGTCGTAGGGGGGTAATCGTTCGCGTCAGCTGGTGTACCTAAAACCCTGATTACAGGTGTCACATCCACTGATAAAGGAAGGTATGAGTAATGCCCTTCGCCAACATACGTGAGATTCAACTGCGTGCACACCTTATTCCAGTGAAAGAGGGACGAGTTATTGGAAATACGCAATAGTGAGAATCCTCTTCGTAGCACGTTTGATACGCCTCTAACAAAAACTTTCATGAAGCGTTCCTTGATTTGTACGAATACGTAATCGCGCTCGATCGCATTATAAACTGTAACGACTCCAGGCATCGAGGTCTTGCGAATTTCTACTCGATTTTCAAACTTGTTCATTTCAAATACGAAATCAAACTCGTCGGGTAAACCAGCTTTCGTTCCGTTAGCCGCGCTGCCTACTAGACGAGGTGAGCAGGAGAATACCGGATCTATGATAACCATCTCATCGCTTACTTCCTTAATGAGTTGCTCTACGGCTAAACGTACTGCTTCACCCTCTACTGGATGTTGTATCCTACCCAACCCTGGACAGTCCAGCAAATCCGTGAACGACTTTACGTTGCTAACATCAGTGGCCGTATGCGTATTCACATGAGGCACATCGCAGTAAGAAGATTCAGGCAACAGCCTGCATAACTCGTATCTAAGCAGTAGACCGGCGATTTGCTTGTAATTATCATTGAGCGGAACTTTTAGCGCACACCCTACAGCCGTGTCATAAGACTTTGTGACGTCGGCAGACTGCCGCCCCGCACCCGCGTCCAGTAACATCGTCACTACGTCAATGTGACCGAATCGCACTGACAATACCAGCGCCGTATCTTCATCCAAGTGCCTGCGTTCCAAATTAGGATGAGCAGCCAGCAACACTCTGATGACCTTCGTATGACCGCACCGGGCAGCTAGATGCACAGCGGTCATTCCTTTCTTGTTGATGTGTTCTAAGTTGGCTCCGGCTTTCAGCAACGTCTCGACACAGTCCTTGTGACCACGCCAAGAAGCCAGCAGCAACGCCGTTTCATGCAGTAGCAGGTCAACATGTTCCATGTTGGCTCCAGAGTCTAGTAACAGTCTGATAGTGTCCGCATGACCACCCATGGCAGCCGCCAGCAGGGCTGTTCGGCCCCAGAGATTCACATGTTCCAACGGCGTCCCCTTCTCGAGTAGCGTGGTGATAACTTCGGGGTGGCCATCAAAGGCAGCAAGCATCATCGCCGTGTCGTTATCGTTGTTAATGTGCATGACGTCTGCTCCGGCATCTAGTAGTGCCCCGACAACACGACGCTGCCCGTTCCAGGCAGCCAAGAACAGTGCTGTGTCGCCACGCTTGTCGGTATGTTGCACGCGTGCCCCCGCTTTCAGCAACGTTGCGACAACGTCCAGGCGACCGCACCAAGCAGCTGACATCAGCGCTGTCATGCCGTTCTGGTCGACGTCCTCTACATTGTCACCAGCAGCTACTAATGCCTCGATCACGTCTGCGTGGCCAAAGCGCACAGCTAACCGCAATGCTGTCATGCCATCCTGGTTCCTGTGCGTCGAGTTGGCGCCGGCGTTCAGTAAGATCTCCACGATGGCTGCGTGACCGCACCAGGCTGCCAACAACAGTGACGTCATACAATCACGATCTTCATGTTCCAGGTCGGCGCCGGCTTTAAGCAGGATTCCGACGATGTCCGCGTGACCTGCCATAGCCGCAGCGAGCAATGCTGTCCTACCTTGGTTATTGCTCGGTTCCAGCATCGCGTCGGCAGCCAGCAAGCGTTCGACTGCTTCTCTCTGACCATCCCACGCAGCGCACAGCAATGCCGTATCCCCGTGGTTATCTCTACGCTCGACGTTGGCTCGCTCGTGCAGTAGAACTTCAAGGACACCGTCGTAACCGCACCAGGCAGCGAGCATCAATGCTGTCACTCCTTCCCCATTACAGTGCTCCACATTGGCACCGGCTTCTACCAGTAACGAGACGACATCGGTGTGACCGCACTGTGCAGCGAACATCAGTGCTGTCTCTCCATCGTCGTTGCAGTGTTCCACGTTAGCACCGGCTTCTACCAGTAACGAGACGCCATCGGTGTGACCGCGCTGTGCAGCGAGCATCAGTGCTGTCATGCCATCCTCGTTGCTCTCCTCCACACCACACCTGGCTTCTAGTAACTCTTTGATCACATCTACATGTCCACACCACGCAGCTAACAGTAGCGCTGTTGCTCCGCGCTGGCTTTCCTGTTCTAGATTCGCACCGCAGACGAGCGCTTGTTTTATCGTATCGGTGTTCCCTGACAACGCAGCTTCTATTATGACATCACCTGCGTCTCTACTTGTTAGGATGTTCAGATTTTCAGCGCCATTATCAGCTGATTGTTTATTCTCCATGTTACCATCTGTTAAGGTTCGATGAATAAAATTCGTGTCTGCAAAATAACATCAGAAAAATATAGAAGGTTCACTGTATTCGCTATATCAATAAACATTGAAGCATCAGTTTTATGCATCAGTTTTAATTCATTTAACTCAAATGACGGTAAATAAAGCCGTTAAAAAGTTAATAATTCACTTTACCTAAGTTTCAAACATACTATTTTTTCATAAATAAATAATGCAAATATCCGTTGTTAAGTTAAGGGTAAAATTTTACTCACTACATAGATTAGTTCTTATAATATATCCGACGCTTCAGTGACAGTAGTATTATTTTTCTACGACGTTATAACGAAGAAACGTTGAATGAACCGACGTTAATGGCGTACAGCTAGGATGCTTCAGCGCACACTACACCAAACGAGATTGCAAAAGAAATATTATAATCACTAGCAGACTAATACCCGTACAACGACCAAATCGTGCCTTAAAATATAAACTTCGTGCAAGTGACACAGTTGAAGTTAAATATTTCATGCAACTGAAAAGAAAGCATAAACAAAAAACTTTTTTGGAAGAAACAAAGAGCGCAATTCTATAAGTGAGCAGGGGAAAAGGTGCTCAGTTGGTGACCACTTGGCTGAAAGGAAAATACCGCAAAATCTATCTATCTGTCTATCTATGTATCTATCTATCCATGCATGCATGCATCCATCCATCCATCCATCCATCCAT